AGAGAGAGAGAGAGAGAGAGAGAGAGAGAGAGAGAGAGAGAGAGAGAGATTGAGAAATAAATGGATTAATTTATTCCAATGATAGATAGCGTGCATTAATAGTCGTTACTAATGAGATGATCAAATTTTTGGAGGATCGTGTGCACATGAAAAACTAAAGAATAACTAAACAAAATGTAAATAGTAAGCATCACGCGAAATATTTGCTTTTGTCTAAAAGGTTTAATTTTCAATTAATTGTTATTTAATTAAAGCATGACTTGTTTCCTATAAGGAAACAAAATTTAAAATAAAAAAAAAAAAAAAATTGTTAACAATGCATTGTATGCAAGTTGTTACAAGACAATCGCATGCCGGGAGCACGAGTCCTGATTCCTATAAAAACGTATCTATTGAACGAAGAATTTTAGTGAAAGTACAACTGCGTTGCGCAAGACAGGTCATAATACGAAAGTGAAATTCATTATAATGCTACTTAAAGCGTTTTTAAATGAAAAGTATTTCTTTTGGTGGCTTTTGATTGCTATCACCGAAGTGCGAGGCGAGGCGGCCTTCTCCATCGAATTGAACTCATTTGAAGTTAATAAAAATTATGATACAACCTGGATCGACTGGAATACGATGCGTATGAAGAAGGTGGCACGCAACGATTACGTTTTTACTGGCGATTTTGCTATCAACCGCAATTTAGGAAACGAACAAAAGGTTCTCGTCTTTTTAATAAATATCGACTCTCGACTTGATTAGACTTGAGGTCTTGAGTTTTGCACTTTAACTTGAATTTCGATTTTTTATTGCGAATAACAGATTTCGTTAATGATTTTCAATTACTATGGCGAGCAAAGAAAGAAGGGGATGGTAGTGTATACCGTGGAAAAGAATTTTTGCACATTTCTAAAAGATGAAGAGGACATCTATACACCTATTGTGCAGGCGTCCAATCTACCAGCAGAATATACCTGTCCCTTTCCTAAGGTAAAATTTAAATCAATTGTAATTTTCGTTTGATGTGTGTGTTTATGTTTGTTTTATTCAATTGTTTAACAAGGGGAATTACACGGTCGACAACTATTCCCTCAATCTCGATTTTCTGCCGCCGGAAACACCCAAAGGACAATACATGATAGAGGCGAGTTTAAAAAACGGCATGATGGCAGTTAGTCGGATCGATATCGCGGTAACAATTTCATAAATATTTCTGCTATAAAATCGCTATGGCAAGCGAGTTCCGTTCGCTATTAAATTTTAAGTAAATTGTGGTTATTGTTTTGAATTAATTTTATTTCTGTAATAAAGAAGAAATGTCCTTCAACCGAAAGTGCGTACTTCTGAATCATGCTTCGACGCCTTGCTGTACAATCATGTATAACGTTATGATTGTTTAATAATTTTCTTACATGTTCATGTCTGTACGAATGACTTTATGTAATGCGTGTGTGTACATGCATGCATATATATATATATGTATTACATTTTTATGTATTACTCGTCATTAAGCATTTTTACAAGCCCTATTGGAGGTGCACGGTATGTTAATTTTACAATCCCGTACGTACGGTCTGTGCAAATTCAAAGCAAGAATATCCTGCAAAAATATATACATATATGTACAAATAGTTGGTGGGCGATTATTTATCGAATTCAATTTGTTTTTTCCTTTAAATAAAAAAAAAAAAAGAAGAAAATGATACATAAAGCGCCTAATAATATGCTTCGGATAGATGAAGAATTCAAAAAATTGAGAATTTTCATAATAAATGTTTTCAATAGAAATTCGGATTTCGGGCTTACGCTGCAAGCTCGCATGTTACTAACCGCTCTTTTGCGTAAATGTAATCGCGTACGTGTAATCGCGTGTACACGTACACATTTAATCATCGGGCTCCTCATCACAATTAATTATCACATCGGAGCACATATGTATGGCTTTACAATCCATTGATTCCTGATAATCAACCAAACATAATTAAAAATCTGCAGCAACACTTAATTAACACTTCCTCCACCGCCAGACGCCATTGACACAAGCAGCAATGATGACATAAACACAGTGTCATTGTCACCACATTGAATATCGAAGAGTAGATATATATATATATATAAATATGTACAATACACTAGGAGTGAATGGAGAGAATGAGTAGTGAATTCGTGAGAGTGCGGGCGATTCATAAAAAGGTATAATATACGTTGTATGTGTTTTTTTTTTGAATAATGACACAACGCTTGCATTTCTCAGTGTGAATATCAGTTGTGTTTTTCAAAACATTAACCCTTCAGTATACCATAAATAGGAATTATTGAGCATGTAGCATCATCACCAGCACCAGCACCAGCGCAACCGGCAGTGTGGCAACGAAGAAGGATGAGAAGCGATGAAAAATTTTCGTGCGCTCAATTGTAATTGAAAAATCATTTGCAATGTGCATAATTATCTTTTATAGCGATATTAATCTGATGTAATGCAAATTGTATTTATTTAAATGTGAAACTTAGTTGCGGCAATGATGATGGCCATAACGGGTATATCACATATATATATATATATATATATGTTATATGGGCCAAGCCTCATCCTCTATATCCGTCCGGACAAATTTATATATGAGTTATGCGGAGGCATATTGAGAGTCCGAGAGAAAGAGTGAGAAAGGGAGAAAGAAAGAAAGAAGGAGTGAAGGAATTATTGGTGTTTTATAATATGAGGGTAAATACATCTCGCACACACACACACACACACACACACACACACACACATTGTTGTTTTGATGGCTAACACTTGTGATTGCACATTTGAACGCCTGCTGGTAATGACAGGCACTCTCCAAAATGATAACATTCGCACGGCAAGAGGTAGGAACGGGTTGGATGGATGCTTGGCGATGGAACGATGGGCAACGGGCGGAGATGGAGGTTGACGACGATGGAAGGGTTGCGTATGCCAGGTTTTATTTTTTAATTGATGAACGTCATATGCTATTAAAGTGAAACGAGTTAAGTGCTCCACACCTTAAATATTAAATTCATAGATTTGCAGAATCTTCTGCCACTCTAAGCACTCTGCGATGTACGTGCGTCTTAAGAAGACGAGATAGATTGAAAGATACTTGTCGTAAGATATTTAACATTCACAGAAAAGATCGACGGACTCGAAAGGAAAATAAAATTCCCTGAACACCTTTTACGCGAATATTTCTTATTATAAACAAATATTGCATCAGAGTTGAACTGTGCTGAACTCTAACTGAACTGAACTGAACTAAACTTAACTGGGTATGGAAGGTTCACTCAAACGCAGTTATCATATGCGGATTTGTTGTTTGTTTGAGAAAACTCTTGGGGTTAATTTCATTGTTTTTCGTGGCTTGGCTCAGCAAATGGAATGTAGACACAAACGTGCACGACGACATTTTTTAATCATCATTAACAATAATTCAAGATATACTTTTTATTTTTTTTTTTTTTTTATTTTTATTTTATTTTTATTTTAATTTTTTTTTTTTTTTTCTTTTATCATTCTTGTAATGTCTTAGAAGTAGTGAATAATAGAAGCAAGAATATATGATGGAGTGTATGTGCTCTCGTTAAATGTCTATGGAAAAATGATATTAATATGGGCTGAGTTATAGCAAATATTTATTTCTAATTGAAAGCATTTCTGTATCCTACATTACTTGTGGAACAAGGGCATATTAAGATTATGCGAAGGTATTCATCGCTCAGTAGGACTTGTGGTGAACCCCTCTTTTCTTAAATATTGAACGCATTTTGAATAACTTTCTGAATCCATCTAATCTTGTCTGCCTATCTGGCTCTCCGTCTCGGCTTAATTCGTGAGATATTCTGATGAAATATAAGTTTATATTTAAAATTGCATTGCCCACCTCTACATTAGTAAGGCTGATTAAGTTCTGCTGGTGCTTGCTATAATTTCCCCTCACATCAAATAGTAATTTGACAAGAGACAAAATCGCGTCTGTCTGTCTCGGGATGATACTCCGAGGCCTTAAAGCTGTTCATTATAAAGTTGAAATATTTTTTTACATCAAGCATTTATGTTCGTTGATCGAGACCATTTCATTTGCATCGGTCTTTTAGTTGACCGTAACTTTCAAGGACATTGTATGGGCAAGTTTTCCATTTATTTGCACTTATACAGCATTTCTGATAACAGTTACAATGCGCATTTCTCTGGATGTTACAAACGAAGGAATACCTTTATTATGCACCCATCATTCGCTGATGAATATACGTAAATAAGAAGAAAAACTAACTCATCTCTGCCCAATACAAAACCAAAATTAAATTGATTTTCATTAGACAATTGTGATGAACCGGCTATTGATGACTAAACCTTGTAACAGCTTTTCTTAAACTTTAACGAAAATTTATTTCATAAAGGGGAATTTTGTCCATAACTCGCCTGCGCTTGAAGAGAACTTAATTAAACATAATTAGCTATCATTGTGACCGATGGCGTTTCTTCCTTGCCGTCGCTGTAAAGACTCTGCGCTTCACGTATGTTATGTACGGGCATGGACAGAATCGTTCAAAACTTTTCTTTTTCTTTCGTCTTTCAATTTTTTATAGAAACGCCACGATTTGTCTTCCAAACGCGCGAAGCTTTGTCATCTTCAGAGAAGTAGCTTTGTCCAAGTCTCAAAATGCAATTCTTTTTGATCGAGTTAATAAATTTCATAACTTAATTATCAAAACAAGCAATATAGTATGGCTTGGTAGGATTAGTCTTAGCAAATTTACATATCTATGGCATGCAAAGGAGATTATAATGGGCCTTAAATTAAGCAGCTAACTATTGGGAGCGTAATGCAGGATAACGGCAATCATGTCCCAGTATAGTACATAAGTTATTGGAATTGTAGAGAGACATAACTCTCTCAAGTATTCCCTGAAGACTCTTCGCTTCTCTAACGCATTACGTGTGATTGCGCGGCTATCCGAACGATGTTTGATCAACGATTTCCTAATGCAAGGCATGGTACGGTGCTTTGAGTGAAGGATAGTGTTCGAATTCGATAGAAGCTTCGACGAGTGGGGATGGACCGTTTATATCGCAATATCAATTGCCATAAAGGCATATGACTCTAAAGCAATTTATAGTAAACTCATGCAATGGACTTTTTACTTTTTGGGTTCTGCTGCAGCATTACAATTATTCCTGAAATATGTGTTAATACTTGTAGTACTATAAACTGTGCATGTTTTGACTGCGAATGCTTTTACGAAAATTATTATTATTATTATGTTATTATTGCTGTTGCCGTCATTACGTAATGTAATGTAAAGAATGTGGAAAAGAGCATTCGAACAGACTGAAGCTGAAAGTAGCAGCAACAAGAGCAATGACGGTAACAATAAGTAATTGTCAGTAATTGCAATTATTTTAGGTTTCTATCCATCATTTCTTACATCGAATAATGTCTTAGTGGCAGCTTAGGTAGTCCTTTTATTTAAATGTTTTTCGGTTTTTGGTAAAAATACACTCGAATGCACTTCATTGATATTGTTATTCATCTATATTTGTCTGTCAGTCAGTTTATTGCTGTTGTTGCTGTTGCTGTGGCTGTTGCTGTCGCTGTTGTTGTCTAATTTAGCGTTTTAAATTATTGTTGCTTAACGCAGCACAAGTTTTTAGGTCTTTTTCTTTCGTTTTTGCTTCGACTCGTTCTTTAAAAGCAAACTTTTGTTATTGAACGCGTAGAGAAGATGTCTTGTTGCTGTTTCTGTTGCTGTTGATGTTGATGTTGCTGTTGCTGTTGCTGTTGTTATTGTTGTTTTATTTACAATATTGTATAGTTAGTTGTGTGTTGCCTCCTCTATCTTTCGAACAATAAAAGCAATAAAATATTATTAAAATTATGGAAACGTACTTTGAAGTACATGCTGTGTGAGTCGTACGGACATACAAACAGACAGCCAGACAGAGAGACAGATAGAAAAGCATGCACATACATACAATCTAAATACATTATATATGTAAGTATTTTGGATATATATGCAAAAGCATTAAAAATAATTTAAGAAAAAGAACATTTACAAATACACGTGAAGAAAAAACTTTTCATGATAAAATAAATTTTGATTTTCTTATACGCGAAAAATAGCAAATAGTACAAGCTTGCTTACTCCAATCATTTCTCAAGGTGTTTCCTTACCTTGGCTTGTGTATTG